GCTGAATCTTTCTCATTATTCCCTGCTCAGTAGGTATCAGCCTTTTTATTTTGCTAATGGAGCCATTTATAGAAGGCTGAGACAAACAGTTCTAACTCAATTGTCAAAAAACCCCATACAACTGATATTTATAAAGTGCTTCTTGTGTTCGGTCTAAACACTATTTGTCTCTTCAAGAAACACAAAGCTCTGAAAGAGAAGACAAGAATAATTTCCATAATTACCAGCACGTGTAATTCTTCACCTTTTGGAACAACACTGAAAGGATATGTTTTTAATACATTATTGTTGTTTCATCTTGATGCCTTAATATTCCTAGAATCTTGAGTACATTTTTCCTTTTAAATGCTCATGTTCCTTCCCATTTGTCTAATATTGATTTGCCTGCTGCCAGTTGTGCAGAACTCTAATTTTACATGCTTTAGTTGGATCCCTTGTTTTCAACAAACTTCACGAGTGCTACCAAGAGAGCTCGTAAAACAAAAGACACTAGTTAACCAAATAGCACAGAGCATGGAGAACCATTATCTGGTAGATATTCTGCAAGTACAGTGAATTTACGTTTACTTTTACCAATAGCTGGCATCACAGTTAACAGTCTTACTTATCTTTATTTTTAATGTAGTTATTTAGAATCCTGAAAGACAATGAGAAAGAGATCATTTGAGATCTTTTTTACTCAGGACTAGGAACACATTAAAGGGACTTGATTCAGTAATTTAAACTGTTCTTTCAGTTTTCTGTAATTTCGAAAAAAATACCACAAACCTCTGATTTGCTTTAAAATTTTAGATTTTATCACCAAATGATTATGAGACAGCAAATATGCTGGTACAGCCTGAATGATTATCAAAGATGCCAGTTCCAGTTAAGAAGCTGGGAGACTGTATATTTCTCATCTTTTTCCAGGGAAAAAAAAACAACAAACAAACCATAAAGAGATTGTAAATATTTAATAAGAATAATGCTCCAGAAAGCACTGAAGGATTTAAAATGTAAAGCACACAGCCTAGAGCACATCAGCTTTTATTAAGAAATCACAGATGATTTTTGAGTTGGTAAGGGCAGAAGGGCAGAGGGACTCCAGCCCTTCTCTCATGGGAAGTCAGCGGAAAGCCAGTTGGCTTGCGTCAGCCAATATGACCAGCGCCAGAGTCTTCCAAAATAATATTTTTTAATTCTGCTCACCATTTAACCTGCAGAACCTTAATTTGCCTTGATATCTCAGACCCATTGAAAAAGAAACAAAGCAAGGAGTAAGGAAAAGGTCTTCCACAAGCAAGACACTACTCAAGAAAACAGAAGCAACAGGGTATCACTTCCCTTTATGGCTAAACTGCCTCCTGAAATGGGATGTAGGTTCAGCTGTGAAACAGAGTAAGACTACACTGGGGAAGCAGTACAAAGTAACTCCAAGTTGTCAGGCTTAATTAATAGGTACTTAAAAAGGTCTGATGCAAACAAAGCATTAAGGTCCATTGATTATAAAAGGTGTAATTATCAATCTGATGAAGACATTAATTTAAGTAGGGAAACATGCAAGTCACATAACTCAAAACTGATGGCTTAATTAAGCAAATAAGCTACTCAATGCAAGGCACCCTGAATGTTCAAAGAGGTACATGGCCAGAGCTGATAACGGCTTCTTCATTTTTTAGTAGAGCTACAGAAAACTTGCAAAGAAACAACCTCAGTCCTTATCACACATATCTGACAAGGTTTCTGAGCCACCTGTGAGACCCATCAATATCACAGATTTAGCACTCTGGCCTTTGACTGCCTATGTCATTTTTAAAATAGGAGAAAGGTTCCTCAGTCACTTAAACCTTTAAAAAATGTTTAAGAATTTTCACTGCCTCCAGTTTTCTCTTTCTTCCCTTATTACTGTTCAAATTGAACATTTACTTTTATCATCAGCTCAGTCTTAAAATGCTGCCTCTTTTCCTTGCAAACAATCTGAGGACACAGTGATATAACATCCAGATTGGTTTTTCCAACAATTGCTCAAAAGAAGCAATTAAATAGCTGTCTACATGCAAGTTCACAAGCTAAAAGCTATGCTGAGCATTCAAAAGACAATACTGTGGAATAATTCACCATCTGAGCACTCCTACTTGGTACCAACATTGCACAACGTTAGCACAGGTTAGCTATAGCACTGTCCACTCTGATCAGCTTTTTTGGCTCTCGGCTGTCTAATTAGACAGGTCTTGTACTAGAGAAGTACAAATGTTTCCATGATGTCTCACAATCCATCCAACACCAGCTTGATTACTGATCCTGTCTGACTGCCGACAACACTGGGTTCAGTGCAAGGCACAATTGCCTGTGAGCAATTTCTTAGGCTGCCCTGAAATCATAGTCAGGCATTAAAAAGGATTTCTCCCAGAATCAAACACAACAACAAAGAGAAAGACGAGGAGCATCCGAAGACCATCCTGCCTAAGCATCCTGCTCAGCAAAGAAATGCAATTCTTCTCGTCTATTTTATCAACACAGAGCTGCTAAAGGGAAATAAAAAAATGAGCCCCAAAATTTTAGGGCTTCAAAAGCCACATAAACAAAGCAGGGCTTTTTTCCCTTAATGGGGCCACTGCCAACAGATCCAGGCACTATGAGAATTATTCATACACAGGGCTGCATGACATCTAAAAGATGAGCTGAAACTTTCCTTTGCGTGCTGTTTTAAAACCATTCCGTAATTAAGCCCAAAGAGATGACAGACATTTACTGACGGTTAATGCAGTGCTCCCACAATGTATTATTAGGCACAAGACCAGAGGCACAAGGCCAAGTGCTGTTAATCTCCTAGTGAGTGCAGCCTGAAAATATATGGTAATATTGCTAATATTTTTTAAAAGGCAAAAGTCTTGAGTTTTCACAGAAACAGACACACCGAATAACCCACCAAAATAAAAGTGTCATGGGGAAAAAAAGAAGAAAGTTCACATAGTTTTTAACCCAATTTTTCCACATGAGGAGTGATGTATGAAAAAGGACTGCCCTCCTTTGCCTTACCTCATGTTTTACTTTAGCAGTGTCAAATCCGATCTTTCGTGCTTGGCTACAAACCTTTCCAAAACAAGTGGGAACATCTATCAGCTTTTAGTTAAGGTAAGGAAAGTGACGGGGCGCAGGTTTCCCTCCAAACGCTCTGCTTGTTGGTTTTAAGGAAGCTTTAAGAAGAGCAAATAAAAGAAGCCTGAAGTCCTCTGAGCAAAGCTAACTTCTTCCTCTCAAGGTCATCGTCAAGTCATTTAAGAACCATGGAAATAGCCGGGGCAGTGGAGGGGCAGGAAATAAGCAGACTCAAAAAGACACCTTTCCTTCTCAAATAGCTTTGGTGCTGGAGGCTGAACTAAAAACGAGCACTCAGGTGGAGGTTTGCTACTGGTACAGACCCAGCCAATCTTCCCCCCGCGGGAAAGAAAGATGCAGTAAGAAGTTCTTGCAAAAGTAACTCCAGCAGAAGCACTGCATAAACAGGAGAGCTCGCAACTCAGATTCCACTGGAAGTGGCTCGTCAAGGGTCCTACAGGCAAGAACCTTCTTCCTTGGATACATCTTAACCCCTGTTTTCAGGGCCAGCGCTGAACCTAGTATGTTAAAAACCGAATGGTGTGGTTCTGAATAGAGACAGACCCTTGATATTCCTTCACAATTTATGGCCTGATCTTACTGAGAATATGCATTCAAATTTTTAGTAACATATTTAGCAAACATTAACTATGACTGACATGCATATTCAGAACACATTTTGCTTACAGTTTAAACCGAAATTCATAATCACGTTAGCTACACGTATTATTTCACAGATGTTGTAACCTGACTGAAGACTTAATTTTGTGTAAACCTCGCGAAAGACCCGGGAACCCAGGGGGAGCTCTGTCTAAGCGAAAAAATAAAGGATTTGGGGCTCCTGTGAAGTTACGTGCCCCGGCACACCATCGCCATTTCACTGACAGCTCAACGCACCCTGCTTCTGTGACTAAAACGAAACGCCACCCCAAAAACCCAAGCCAGCAAGCAAGCAGAAAAGTATTCTCAGGCAGTTAAGGCACAAGCAGACGCTGTGCCCTCTCACAGCCCCGAGCGCTACCGACCCCCCCCCGCTACCGCCGCCAGACCCGTTACCTTCTGCCGCCGTTCGCGGGGTGGGTGCGGGAGGACGGGCGCCGGACGTCGTGCCCGGGCAGGGCTGGCCCGGAGCCTCGGCAGGGGCCACCGCGCCACCCAGGGCTGACGCCTACCCGCGGGCTGCGCCGCCAGGGCCGGGGGCAGACTGGGAGCGGAGTCCTGCCGAGCCCCTGCGGGAGGGACCGGGACGGACGGGGCGGGGCGGCCGCGGCTCGTCGGGGAGCTCTCTGCGCCCCTCGCTCCGCGCGCGGCTCGGGGCAGGGAGGGGACCCGGCAAGTTCGCGGCCGCTGCTGCCTGCGAACAGCAAAGTTGGCGCCGCACAGAACCGGGAGGGCGACACAGCCCCTCGCCACCAGGTGCCCCCGACCCGCCCCGCGGCCCCCTCTCACCTCAGGCACTGCCTCCTTCCCGCCGGGATCGGGGAAGGAGCCGGCTGCTCTCCGCTCCATCCCGGCGCTGCACCCCGCTCCCAGCTCCCCAGCTCCACCGGGATCGCCGCAGATCGCCGCGGCCCCGCCGCCGCAGCACCCAGTGCCGGCCGCGGAGCGCCGCCTGCCGCCGGGGGCACCCCCCCACCCACCCATCCCTGGGGAGAGCTCCCGCGCCGCCGCTGCCGGGCGGGGGGAGCGGCAGGGGCAGCGCTGGCCCCCATCCGCCCCGCGGGCCGTCATCCTCGCCAGGGTGCGCCCCGCTGCAAAGCGGCCAGGATGTAACAGCGTTAATATGGTTATTAAGATATTTAATCTCATCCCCTCTTCAGAGGAACGCTCACGCTAGCGGCCCTGCGCCAGTAAGCTCCCGGCCGCAAGCAGCTGGCGTTGAGTTGCACAAAAACTAAACCCGAGCCTTAATTTAAACGCACTTTCAAACAGCGAATGCGCTCTCCCTGTCGATGGACTTATCCCAGTCGCGCTGCTGGTGTCAGGTAAGTTTACTTCTTCGCGCTGCTTTCGCAAGCTCGGTGCAGCAGACGCAGCCTGATTCCGGCAGGTGAGTGCTGTCAGCGAGCTCCCAGTGCTTGTGGAACAGGGGAGAGCTGTTTTACCGAGCTCATGCCTGACTCCAGTGCAGCTGCTGCCCGACCGCGTCCCGGGAGCCCGACGGGGAGTCGCGTTGAGAAGGATAGCCCAGCAACCCCCACCGCTTTAGAGAGATGGGGATTGTGGACGGACCCTGGTCCAGGCGCTAGTGGGGTTTGCGTGTGCAGGGGCACACACGCACCTGCAGGACCCCTCGGGAGCGAAAGTGGGGAGCGACGTTCACAGACGTTCGTGCACAGCCATTTCCCTGTCTGTCTCCCATCTGCGAGCAGGCGCTTGGGAAAATGTAAAAGTCTTTTGATAATAGCGTGTGTTCGGTGTCTGCCCGCATGTACAGCGCCGCAGGATGCCGCTGCACAGTGCAAACAGGAAACATCACGGTTCTAACTTTTGTGGGTTTAATAATGGTGTTGGCTTTGTACACATCACCACCACCACCACCACCCTCGGTACTACACCAAGTTGCAACTTACTTACAAGGGCTGAAATACATTTCCTGAGATGCCTCCTGTATCTCTTGCCAGTTTCTCCAAAATGTCTCTGTGGCTAGTCTGGGTCCAGGTTTTTGTCAGTTTTTACATCTTTTAATTTATTTATTGTGTTTTCTGGCATTCATGCCAGTTAACATCATCCCCCCCACACCTCCCCTTTGGGGAAACTTCTGGCTGGTTCTGGCATCTCTTGATTGTTGCTTCTTAGATTATGTATGTATTTATTAGTGTCTTTTCTCAGTTGGTGGATCAGCTGCAAGAGTACATCACATCAAATCTGATAAAAGCTGCCAATACCAGGCAGCCCATTGTCTCTGCAAGGAGCCAGCTCTGCATGTCTCAAAGAAAGCAGCATATAGTTTTGTTGTTACTATCTGTAGATGTTAGAAACTCTTTGTGTGTACATACACTTTTACTATTATTGCTTACATTCACTACAGCATGTATCAAGTTCATTGCTCTTGGGCTATTTGATTTTCAAGGTAACATTGAAGAAGTAATTGTTAATTTAAATATGTCACCTTCTAATTTTGTACTGTTCTTGCACTATGTAAAGACAAACAAACAGGGCCACACATTCAACCTTGCTTATGTCCTTCTCAGCTCCATCTTGGCTCTGCTTCTTGCATGCTCTCCAAGCGTGATTCACACTCCCCTCAACTCTCCCACTAGAGTTTTGAAGTGAGACAGTCATTGCAATATCTGAGCTTGTTTTTAGCAATACTAAAGAACTGTTTGAAACCATTTGCCTTTCTCATATGGCAATATTTTAAATTGTTTGCTGCTTGACAGCCTGGGATGTGTTTCCATTGGCATGAGATTTTCATGCATTTTCTTTTCTGTGTCTATTCTGTTTATCCATTTAGCTTCACTAGTGTATAGCTTGCATTTTGTCAAAATGTTTTGACTTAAAATACGCCAAGGTATTCATTTGTTTTACCTTTTATTTCATAACCAGTAATTTGACAAGCCTGTGGACATTAAGAGTCCAGTTCTGTGCACAATCTGATGTGGTACTATTATCTTCAGAGGTTACCTTTCAGCTTGCCCTGAATCAAGCCCTGCTTGTATGTGGTTGTTTGTATGTCCCCAGAAGTGAATAGTGAGCATGATTGTACAGGTGCAATTCCACTTTCAAATATGTCCAAAGAATTAAATAATATTTTTCCCTCAAAATTCCACCAAGTTGCAAATTCTTTACTAGATGCAATAATTCTCATGATAGTGAAGCGTGATAGTGAAGATCAATAGCAGAATGCCATTTATGGTGTCCATGGCACTTACTTACCCTCAAAATAATACAATTCTGCCTTTTCAAACAGATGGAAAAAAGGTTGCATGAAGCAGCTACCTGTTTTGGATGTGATCGTATATGTACAGTCTTGGCAGAAAGCTGGGTCTCTAGCTCCAGCCTTCGTCATCCAGTAATGTTGCTTTTGTGCTGCTTTGTGCTCATGTTTCTTGTAGGAAACCTCTTGTGTGCCATTCCCTGCCTCACACAGCACCCAGAGCTGCAGCAGTGAGGCTATAGGCTCCTTTCCAAAAGGAAAAGAACCAAAAGGTTCACAGAAGGTAAAATGGCAGCTTTGTTTCATGCCCATGCCTGTAGAAGAGTGGGATAGCTACTGTTCCTTCTCACTCTTGTTCGAGGCTTGCTTGGACTAAATGCAATTGAGTTTGATTTACAGTCAAGCCTTCCTACTGCAATTAAGACATTTCTATGGTTTTCTGCAAGGAGCTTTTTTTATAGGGGAGTGTGGGTATAGCCTCATTGATCATTTAGTTTAAAACGTCCAGTTTCTAGTTGAACCAGGTCCAACTCCAAATGAAATCAGCACTTGAAGTCCCAATTATGTCAAAGGGATTACAATTAAATGTTTTGCAGGTGTGTTTCCCCATTTCTTCCTGGTCCATCCCACCAGTGTTGCCATTGCTTCTGTTCCACAGATGGCAACTGCAATGGCAGTGACTGGGCAAACACAGAAGCTGGGGCACTTCAGTTTAACTTTTTCATTGAGTTTAAAATTTCTGAAATCTATTTATTTTTTGAGTAGTAAACTTAAAAGCACTTTAAATACAATGCTTAAAGGTTTTTTATCTGAAACCTGAAAAAAAGCTGGATTGTTATCCCAGAGCTGTGAAGACGAAAAGGTTACCTTTTCCTCCAGTCTCATGACAAGATGACTCTTAGCATTGCTTTTTTTGTTGATTTCTTTGGATTATTTTATCATCTCAGTTGTTATTACTGCCATGATGATTTTGGTTTAGGATTTGTATCATCTAATCCAGAAATTACTGCACTGGTGACCAAAGAAATAGGACATGATTCTAGGCAGTAAGTACCTGTATTAAAGCTGTAATTTTGTAGTTTCACCTCGGTGCCTCAGTCAGCCAGGCTGTTTTAGCTGTAAACTGGTGTAAAAAGTTGTCTTTTTTGTGTCTGGAAGGAACCAATTGGTAAACTGGAAGCCTTTGCAGAGGACATGCCTAGAAACCGTGGCATCAGGCAGAACCTGAGGTTTATGTGTTGTTCCTATGCAAAAAAAAGCGGAATCACAAAAAGCGAGGGAAGGTGATGGACCCCATCAATTTTGGACGCCTGGGGTGTGTGTAGACTGTGGAGATGGGTATAGAAACTTGGGAATAACAGGAAGCCCCTAGAAGCTTGACTCCCACTCCTCAGCTCTCACAGCAGACAGAAATCCCAGAGGTAGGTAAATGAAAGTCTCTGTGAAGACTGTGTTGAAAACTATCATTGTAATATTTTTGATCAATTGTCACAAAGTATTGCTGAGTGTGCTTTTGAAGGGGGAGAGAAGCAGGTACCAAAATTTTGGTACCTGTCATGGAGATAATTATTTTTGTAGCTGTAGGGAGGGAAAAGGATGGGGGAAAACCAAGTAAGCGAAATGAAGCATTGCTCACTTCAGGTAAGAGTGAGTTTTTTATTTATTTATTTATTTATTTTTTTTGGTAACAGGAAAATAATTAAGCTGAACTTCTATTTGTGTGACTGCAACTCATTCCATTCAGGACAGCTGATGCGAACAAAGTTCTCAGACATGAGAAATGGTACTGCAGGTAGCAATGCAGTGGGGAAGAATAATATAGTTGTATCAGTGACAGCAGTGGAGAAAATACAGTGGGTTTCCCTTCAAATTCTTTGTGAGTAAAGCGGTCATGTGCAAAATATTAATGATCTATTGTAACAGTGGTCATGTATATATATGACGTAAATATAACATTTTCTTTGTATTTATCTTCTGTTTTATGAGAAGGAAAGTTTAGGGTTTTCTGCAAACTATAGATATGAATTATGTACTTGTTGCAAGCAGGATGTACTTTTTATACTAAAGCAAATTTTTCAATTTTTTTTTCAGGAAAATGACCCAGGTTGGAAAATCACAAAAGTTAAATAAACAAAGGGTATTAAGAAAGTCACAGAAGACATCATAGAGCTACTGTGGTTTATAAACACTCCATATCCTTTTTTGTGTGGAAATAATATTGCTGTGAGTTACAGCTGTTTTATTAGATGTCAGGTTATGTTACTGCAGCTTTGCTGAGAGTCAGAGCAATGAATTTGGGTCTCTATAAGCTGTTGTATCCAGTTGCAGGAGCACAGTCGTAACCGACAGCATACAGGCCACCTTCCAATTAAAGCTAAGCTCAATTTTAAGGTAGTGTATGCAAATCTACCCTGAAAAACAAACCTCATTAAGCTTGTTATGTACAAAGGTGTATATTTTCTTCTCGTTTTGTTTATCTCCAGTGTCATTGGGGGTGCTCTGTCAAGGAAGAAACTATTAGCCACTTGGCTCTTTGATTTGAAAATGAGACCCAGGTATACATGTTAACAGCTTTTATCGAAACAGGAATCTTATGAGAACAACATATATAGTTAGATCTCAACTACTTTTTTGAAAGCAGATGCAAACCTACATATTAAACTGTCCCTGATCTGACCAAGCTGCCAAACTCAGGTGGCTGGCAGTGTACCTCACACCCAGGCAGCTATACTGTCCTGATTGTAGACCACATGTTCAGAAATTGCTTGTATACAAAGGTTTGGATGTAAAAATCAACATATGTCCGCCTCCGTGTTGGCATAACAAATCCCAGCAGCCATGCTCAGGCTGAAAAGGTATTTTGCTAGTGTCGGAATTTATCCGCTCAAAATGCTAAGGCATAAAGCATTCTATAAATGGAAAGAAATACAGAGCATAAACTGCAGGCTATTTGGAAATCAGGTTTTGTTTCTCAAAGCAAACATAAGCACCCAAGGCTCTGAGATGAAACTATGCTTACTGAATGAAGACATGGTCAGGCAGCCAGGCAGATGGAAAAAGAATCCAACAGTGTTAAGCTTGATCCTGTTCAGCTTTGGGCAAAATTTCAACCTCAAGGGTTAATGCTTCTTAAATACAATTCATTGTGTAAATTCAGCCTCGCACCTAAATGCATTATATTTGCTGCATTACAGGCTTTGCGGTCTGTAGGGTTTTCCTCAGCCATTTGGCTGAAAATCAGGGACAATGAGAGAAGAACAATATCAGTATGATCTCTGTGATCATGCACATTGTGGTTCTCAGAAAAAAAAAATAATTCAAATTGACCAGTTTTGGATTTTTTTAAATGGACCATTTAACCAAGCAGAGTTCCTCTGTTGACTCTGATTCAGAGCTCAGGTTTTCATGGTAAATTGCAGTTTATTTTTTAAAAAAGAAAAAGAAAGTACATCCCCTTTAATTCTAAATGTCAATACACCGAAATTTGAAACAGTTTAACAAAACCTCTCTGAAAGTTGATCCAGATTAATATTTAATCGTTCAGCATTCCTGTCATCTGGAAGCTTGTAAGCATAGGAAATTGAATGTGCTGTAAAGTAGGTTTTTAGTTTTCATTGAAGGAGAATATACTATTTTTTGGGGAAGAGTAAACTGCCACTAGGAGTGGTCTACTGAAAGAGTTAGTATATGGCTAGTTTACAGTCCTACT